CCTTGCTCAACATCCCTCTTCTCCGGTTCTGAATCGCCCGCCTGAGTTTTCTCAGTGTCTCACAATATCTCTCAGCGTTTATTGTGGTCCCAGTTTCCATAAAGTCAACCAACAATACCCCGTTTCGATCCCAAAACACAGTTGCCATGACTTTACCGGCAGACTGTGTTTGCTTGAATTTTCGAGGCTTAGGCGAAGAGGAATGCCGCCACTGACGTGATTGTTGTTTTGTCTCAGGTGTGAAGTGGTACGCCCAGGTTTCGTCGCCTGTGACAATTGAATTCAAGAAGTTGTCCTTTTCGTCAGCATAGCGGCGAAGAAATTCACGGGAAGAGTCAACTCTCTGCCGTTTGTGGTCTTCCGTGAGCATTCGCGGGACCCATCTTGCGCACACCTTCCGATAATTCAACTTCTCTGTCAAAACCCGATAAATGGTGGTTCGGGAAACCTCGGGAACCGAAATGCAGAGATCATCGAGTGTGATGCGCCTATCCTGACGCATGACTCGCTCAATCTTCGCGACTGTCTCGTCAGAAATTGACGGTCTCCCAGTTCTTTTTTCGTGTATTGCAGTACGACCAGATTCAAACTCCCTACACCACTTGCGGACGTTCTTTATGTCCATGCACGACTCGCCATACACTTCCACCAATTGACGATGAATTTCAATTGGTTTAGTCCCTTTTGCGTTCGAAAACCGAATAACTGCGCGAATCTCACACTTCGCGGTTTTAGTAATCGGGAGCGCCATTTCTAACGGCAACCGTGCCAAGACTGAGCATCCTAGCTACGTACACGCATACTTTGTGGTATTGGGGGGAGTGGGGGAAGCAACGAATGCAACAGGGTTGCCAACAGCTGCACGAAAAATTCCCAGCGCTTTGGAGACCTTACTTTTGGAATCAGCTACGTATAAGCCATGGCTGTTCATTGTCTAACATCACATCTTACACTTAAGAATTTTCAAACAAAAAAATCAAATGAAACTGGTAACAACGGTCAAGATCTTGATCACAAACTTTGGGTTTAACCTTTAACGGCCGAATGTTATAATTATTGGCATCCAGTAGTAAGCCAAGCTGGCCGAATGTTATAATTTTTAGAGGCAAGCCACGTGCTTCCTTTGTGAGTGCTGGCAGTTTGACCTTGGGTTTGAAACCCAAACAAACTCATGAATGTTCATCTCAGA